ATTATTATTATTAGCAGAAAAATTGAGAACAAATACGTAGATCATCTAGAAAATTTTGATGAAATCAGTGCCAGGTATTATTAATAAAAGGTTTATTTTTATACATTTTAAGATACAACTTAACAACAAAGCAATAAAAGTTTCTAAAATGTTGTCATGCAGCAACATATTTACAATTTAGAAAAAAAAATGCTCAATTTTTAATTGCGTTACTGAAATAGCCAATTTTACGGACTTCTACCCTCATAGCCTTTTTTACAACCATTATTTACTGCACAATTACCAACACTAAAACGGTAGTTACGAAGAAAGCTATTAGTCAACCATAATCCCACTTTGTTAAATGTTTTTTTTTTTGCCCTAACTATATAGAAAACGGCAGTGATTCCTGCTGAATATTTCTTTATTTTGAAGCGTGGGTGATCCAATAATCCAATATTAAGAAAAGAAGTAAAACTACGTAATGGAACGAATTTCCCCAATCGGATTATAGTTCGAAAAATCCCTCTTCAGAGAGTCTTATAAGGATCCTAAGACCGATTTCAAGAACCCGTTGACATACAAAAATTGCAAACTTTTATTTTTGAAGCCTTTTATTGTTTATTTCGTGTGAATCATCTCAAGAAAAACAATCTTAAATACAAACTAGGAACATTAAATATATATTTCAAAAGCATCCCAAGGGAGTAAAGTGAAGTTAGCATAAGAGTTGTCTAAGCAATATTGTGCTTTCTGCTTTTGAATTTTGATTATTCTATGTTGATACTTTTAGGTAATAATAGAATCAGTCTGAGTTTTTCCCAAAAACAGCATAAAAAGAGTAAGATGCCCGCATGACCTAAAACAATAATTGTATTATATGTATATTCTATTAATTAACATAATTCTCTGGGAGGAAGTCCTAGAGGTTCTCTAAACTTTTCGTATTTATTCTAATATTGCAATTATGGCTTGAAACAATAAAAATATTCGTTCATCCAAAAAAAATATTATTTTAGAAGATACTAGATTTTAAAGTGAGACACTTTTTTGTTCTACAATTTATGTTTATAAATACGTACAGAGACAAATGTTGACAACGTCAACGGTGAAAATTTTCCAATTGTTAAGTGTATAGGTTTCTGAAACATCATCATGTTTATTAACAAACTTTTCTTGAACGAGACATTTTCATCTAACCAGTTGCAAAAGTAAAAGGCTGTTGGTACTTCTTCGCACTAGAAAATATACTTTCTGTTTTTTTTTTTTGTTGCTTACCGGTCTGTTATGTATATGTTGTTCGAAAATACTTACAGAATTTGTTAGAAAATTTGCTGGAATTGCATATACAGCAACCTCGATAATTAACGAAAATAAAAAAACATAAAATTTCGAATTCCCTTGTATATCAGTTGGCTAAAAAAATTTTTGATATAAAGCATAATATTATTACGGGAAGTATCTAGTTAAATTATGCTAAAATTAAAACTCTTTCTACTTTAATTTGACCATAGGAGATTTATTTAGTTCCGTTTTCGTTCAAAAGTGTCCAATTGAAGCATATAGTAATAAAAAGTAACCGCAAATACTACGATTACTAATTTGACCGCAATTAGAAATAGTAGGAATCAAAAATTCATCAATAGCATTATACATATTTAAAACCGTCTAAACTTACGAGCATTTAAGTGAGAATCAAGTTGAAATACTGTAATTTACTTGATTGAAAAAATAATCAAAAAATGCTACATTGAATAACTACTGAATTAATTAGTACTAAACTTTTAAATTGACCGCAAGTGCTACATTGAACAACCACTTTAAAATAAACGCAAGTATTACGATTAAGTACGTGATCCTTTTTAATGAAAAGTCATTTTTTTACACTTGTTCAACTTTATCACCTCTTTAAGAATAAATCCTTTATATTAAAAGCAATAAAGAAATGACCGCAAAAACTAAATTCAATATACTGATTAATTATTTAGCAGTTTACAGGTTTGACCGTAAATCCTTCCTTATAATATACTTTCAAATAATAATTAAAAGCGTCTTTTGTATTTAAATTTGCTCACCCTAATCATTCTTTTAAGTCAAAGTGAAACTCAAATGCATTAGATTACAATGAAAAACAAATGACTGCAAAATTACTAATTGAATTCTTCACTAATCCATCGATTTGACCGCAATTGCTACTTTGATTTCTTCTACCGCATATGTTACAACTTCAATTAGAATATGGTATTTATTAAAAGGCGGTTATCAATTTTATTTGTAGCACATAATAATATTCCTTACCGAAGTTAGCGAAACGCGTAGCATCGCTGCAACAGCCACAATATTACCAAGAACTATAGATAAATTTATATAGCAGGAAATGTCTCGAATTTCTAAAGTCATCCTGCAAGAAGACGTCATGTCATTAAGTTTAAAGTATAACTCATTATTCGCGTTATTATATCAGTCAATCCTACGAAATATTGTTATTTATCAAAAAGGGAAATATGTTATTCACTGTTTTTGTTGTGTCAATATGATGTATGAATGTGAGGATCTAATATTTTAAATTTGTAAAATTAAGAAACAAAAATATTGATACTTATAAAGAAGAACATCGTAATTATTTTGTAGACCGATACTTAGTTAGTAATTGAAGATGTTTTGAATATTTCTTCATGTACAAATCCATCCCATTCACTTCTCTTAAACATTTTATTTTCATAGTTTTTATGGCCCCTTGAAGCAAACGGTAGTGAGTTCCGATTTTGTAAACAATAGTTAGGAAAAAGATATCCAAGCCTGAAATAAAGAATCTTGTATTTTACTATTTACTCATACGTTAAGTCCTCGTCCTATAATTCCTTTAAGAATATCTGGAAGGATTATGTCTTCTAAATACTATAGATTATAGATCGATAACTAATAACGCAATAATAAGAATTCAATTCATTAATCAACCCGAGTGCAAAAGATAATTAACCTAATAAAAAACATGAAGCACTTCAATTTTTCGAAAATATAGGGTTGTTCGGAAAGTCATTTCGTTTTTTCCCGACAGAGGATTTAATTGTATTCTTTTGCACCCAACTTCACATTCAAGCCGTATAATTTTTATATGCTTTGAGAGNATTGAATGGTTTTAATATATTTGTTCTGTTGCTCAAAAAATGTATTTAAAGGAAATAGTTGTTTAAAGTTTTCTGGAATTATTCTTAAAAATATCTTAGAGTTTACTTCTATATTGTTTTAAAGACGAATGTCGAATACGTCTTTACTTCTATGACTTAACAATTTACTCAAAAAAAGCCCATAGTCAACGTATAAAAATCAGTTTAACTTTAAAAAAAATTGGTAGTAATATAGCTTGATAAGGGTACAGGCATATTCGTTCTTTTCATTATCGACACGCCGATGCAATTGACAAAAAGTCAGAGTCCCGTTTTTTATTTCACCGTTTCCAATGGGAACCTAAACCTTCCCTCTTTGATGTTCTGACATGGTCGAAATGAGGGTAGGGATCGGAAAGAGTTTTGCATTTCTATCTTTTGATTCGCTTTCGTTAATTAACGTTCTATGTAAAATTCTTCGCGCCTCCGGGTTTGTGTCAAAGAGATACGTGTCCGCACCTGTAACACAAGGGACTTTTTTAACTTTATTTGGAAGTGCATTTAAAACTAAAGGTACTATTGCCGTTAGCACACAAGTCCAAATGCACGCGAGAAATTCACTAAAGGAAAATATACTCCAGGTGGAAATCAATAACTTTGGACATTCATGTAAAAGGGGCTTTTCCAAAAGTTTGCTTTCCAAAAACGATATTTACCATTGCTTACTATATTCGCTCACAACGTAAAATTTGGTTTGCGTTGTGGTATATTGAGCAAAACTTTATAGTAGTAAAAATGCAAACTGGAATTTGTGTTGTTTTTTTTTGTTTAATATTTGAGGATTGTTATGATAGTCCATAAAAATTTCGGCTTCTGTAATGCTGTGTAAGTCTTCCCTGCAATATACAACGTTTTGTGGCACCCTATGGGAAAATGTAACACTACGTTGCGGGCGATTGTTGATATAACAAAGATTTACAAACGTTTAAAATGTTTTCAATTATTTTCTCAGAAACATAATGTAAGTTTCTCATTCTTGCTTCATCTGAGTTTACCAAAAATCAATGTGGTAGGTTTTAAAAATACCACAATACATTCACATTGATAACCACATTGCGTTGTGGTTAATATCACATCGTGTTCTGGACCGTAATTGATTTAATAATTACCAGAAATCATCTATGTGTAATTATATCAGAATGTGGCCAAACATAAAGTAAATATTACTTGCTTCAAATTTGCTAAGAAACTGTGGCAGGTTTTGAAAATAGTATAAACACATCGCGTTGTGTTGTGGACTGTAGCTGATGCATTAATAATCAACAATCATCTATTTTGTGTCATTTTCTTAGAGTTGTACCTGATTATAATCAATTATACTTAAAGTAAATCGCTTCGAAAGATTCTCTTTCTTATTTCTTTTGAATCTCCTGCATATTCGCATAACCACAACGCATTTTGATTACATTTTTTATACAGTATGAAGTGTTAGCTATATAAGAAATTGTCAAAAATACAAAATTATCGTCATCAAACTTATATTGGTATATGAAAGTAATACCAATCAAATGCAAATTTTTACCGAGAAAATTGTGTTTCCAAAGTCGTTTGCTGCAGGCGTTGTGGAAAGCTTTTGGGAAATTCATGGACCATTTCCAACTATTTTACTAGTCAGAACTGCAATAATATGTAATGTGCTAGGGGTATGACAGATTTCGGATTTCGCAAACTTATGAACCGTCACAGTTGCAAGAACAGGGGAAATAAAACGGAAATGCAAATGTTTGGGCAATCATGTACAAATGTCATGCTCAAGAACACTAATTTTATGTACTTAGAATTAGTACTTGGAAAACTGTGTTAATTATTAGCCACTCTTGCATAGAATTGTCTGAAAATTATTCAAAGAACTTGGACATTGTGACCACTAACGATTCGGTAAGATACTTGGAAGAGTGATGAAGTTAATGATTATAACTGAACCTTAACTCTACAAAAGAAAGACTTTATTTCGTACTTAATTATTCAAAATTAATTTTTTTCTATCCTAATGTTCTATATGGTTTTCTTGTTTATTGTCTTTTGTTTTTTTGCATAGGATAAAACTAGTCACAAATTTTTGTTTCTTTTCACACTTGGATAATTCTAAATTAAACAAATATGGCATGAAACAGATACATTCTACGTACTACTTATAAACAATACCAATCCCTTCATCAGGGAATTCGTAAAATTAATACTATTGTAGAGGAACTAAGCCTCAAAGTACACAAAACATTAATAAAGATTACCTAAGTAGATACATACATAAAGTTCTGTTAAAATCACAACATGATTATTTTATGGATTATATTATAATTTCCTGTATTTTAGGTATATATTATGTAATTCACAATATTGTTTAATTTAAAAGTCTTTTTTATAAGCAATTCAATATGTAGAAACTCTATCTTGTCTAAAAGTTCTCCGCCTAATTATTCCGGGGTTATTTATGTATTATATTGCTTTTCTATTCAGTTCCAATCAATGGAGAAATCCTATTTAAATTGTAAATTCACAATTCATTAGTTGTTTTATACAATAATATTTTATTGGAAATTTGAATAAGCAGGTACAACACGTTCTGCATTACTCCAATTTTCAACGAATTCAATATAAACAGGGGAGAGAACATAACCGATAATAACATTTAAATATGATACAGTGAATTTCTCCTTTTTTTGTTTTTATACTTTACACAAACCAGATTGCCCTTAGGAAAAACTTTTTTCATTCGGGAACATTCTTCAATCTTCTAGAGCATTCTTGATGGAAGGCATTTAGGAAAAATGTGTAAGATTCTGTAACCAGACGTCGGAATTCTTTATATGGAGTCCATTAAGGCGATAGTTTTTTTAGTACATTCCAATCTAACACTTTAATAGAAGATTATAATTATCATCTTTATTGAAAACTAAATGTTAATGTGAACTAAACACATATTTTTATCATAGATAAAAAATTAAACCAAAAATACTGGAATACAAGGGAAGAAAAAAATAGGAGACGAAAAA